CTTTTACTTTTTACCTTCGACCCTTCCCGGTTCGTTGTACGGCATCTGCTGACAAAAACCTTGCACCTAGCTTTGTTGAATGCATTGTAACGTGATGATTTGTATTTCGGATTAGTTTTGATTTTTCTCTTACACCTTATTGTTCATTTCAGACTGATATTCTGAAGATGAATTTGATGTACCAGTGTGGGCAGAGGGTGAATGTGGACCCGCAGCCGCTCCCACCGCCCTCCTGCTGCTCCTCCACCTTCTTTAATATTCTCTTCCAGCACGGAAGTTGACGAAGGTATGGTTTTACATTCTTGGCAGTCCTCATTATGATAGTGGATAAGCTTTAACGAATCGATTGGAAGGCCATCAATTACAAACCTATAGTCGCTAAGTGACCCTTCAGGGGAGAAAAAAGCCAAAAAAAGCAAGGCACATCGTTGTTAGGGATTCCCCAACAGGGGGTCGTGTTTGGTTGGCTGGGAGAGAGAGGTCGTATTTGGGCTGAGAAAATTTTTTGATAGTTGATTTTTTGTTTCAGGAACGTCGTAAAGGGGGGGGGGTCGTAATTGCTCGTTGTTGGGCGGGGGGGGTCAACTAATGATGTGCCCTGCAAAACAATCATGGAAAACACCGTACATAAGGACCGGCTTTGCTGACGAGTTTTTCGGACCTATTCGTTTTATACCAGCAAAGAAATATCCTGCCGGCTGTGGCTCACTGGTCGCTTCTTCGCGTCAATGCTAATTTGATCTTCCAGCAAAAAACGGAAAACAGAAAAATCTAAACTCGTGGTAGAAAATAGCCTTCAGTTTTGGCGAGCTGGACAACTGAGTAGGCGTCAGCACCGCCACTTATTAAGACCACAGCTCCTGCGTTTACTTACTGCGAAGCCGCGGAAGTTAGATAATGTTAGAGACTGAGGGCCAAACTACTTGTACGAGGAGGGAGGCTCACGAAATTCTCGAGGGACTGCCTTCAACCGGAACGACTCAAGGGCGGGACGGAAATGGAAACGGACCCCTGTTCGGGAGTCCACCGAGGGACTATTTTATCGCCCAGTCAAAAAGTGCTGCGACACTTCGAACAAAATTTCGGACCAAAATTTATTTTGTTGAACGAAACCTAGAATTGGTACGGCAACAACCATTGGTACCTGAGAAAGGTGCCCATCTCTCGTGTGCCATCAATGCGCTTGTATTCAGGAATTCTTCTTTATGGTTAGATCGTTGGTCAGTCTGTTACTGATCTTATTACAGATTGTCATGACAAAACGAGTCTGTGCTGGCGTTGGCTGGGCCGCTGCAAGTCGTTCTTTTTCGAGAAGATCATGAAAGAGTTTTGCGCTCTGTCGTGCGGATACTGTAGCCCTGTAATGACTCCACTCATTGCAAAGACTGATGCTCGAAACCCGCCAAGCAGCTATCTTGAGCT